TTTTTTTCCAGCCGCGGAACGGCGCGGCGCGTTGTGGCACGCGACCGAAAAAAACAAAACAAAACAAAACAAAAAAAAAACAAGAAAGAAAGAAACGGCCATGTGCCTGAGACTCATCCTCGAAAATGTTCCCCGAGGACGATTCATCGGGGCGTCCCGCGGCCAGTTTCATATATCGACGAGTGGACGCGGGGGGGTGGTCGGCGTTTGGTCCATGATGCATGTCTGTGTGGGTGTCGGTGGACTAGTGCTGGCGGCGTGCACGACTGGGCTCTGCGGCGGGAAAAAAAAAATGGGACGGAAAAGGCGCGGCGTCCCAGTTCGAAATTTGAATTCGAATTTTTGCGAACAAGCGTGTACGAGCGTGGGCGTCCCTTGTGGGTGACGGCGGCAACGTTGTTCGGTGGTCGCCGTTTCGGATTTTGACGGGGGCGCGCTTCTGACGACACGCGGAACGTACATGTACGCTTTGGAAGCATTGGACACGGCGTGACACGATCGCGTTCGTCCTCCCGCTTTCGCGAACGTGGATTTCCATCGCCGGTTGCGCTGAGCACTGTCGTCTTCACTGCTGGCAGCGCTGTTGTGCGGCCCGCGTCACGCACTGCCGTCATTTGCACTCCTCGACGGGCGACGGAGGGGTTGGACGTGCGAATCCTCGCTGTTGATTCGTGGTCTGCCGTCTTCTGCACTTCGCGACAGGCGGATCCTCGCTAACATTTACAGTGATGGCGACGAAGGGGTTGGACATGCGTCATGTGCTATCGAAGGGGGAGAGGACTGCGGTGGCAGCGGCCGTGAGCACCGTCCTCTTCCGGTGCCAGTTGGAGAGGGGCGAGAGGAGGATGAGAGCGGCCATTCGCGCGCGGCGGAAACGGACGCTGCAGTGGCCGTCTGTGGGGGGCGACGACAGCGCTGCCATTTGCGACGCCGTGCGGCAGGTGTGCTACGCCATGGGGTGTGGAGCGTTCCCCAGAGCGACGCCCAAATGGTGGATGAAGCGACGTACACGCGGCACGTGGGAGGATCCCCGGCTATGCGACGACGTGACGGCGGACTACTTCAAGGAGAAGCTACGAATATCGCCGCGTGTATTCCGAGAGATAACGGAAGCTCTGTCTCCCTTCCTTGAGCGACGTGTCACTTTCTACAGGGAGCCCCTCCAGCCAGACCAGATTGTCGCCTACGCTTTGTACAGGTGGGCGTCGGGGGAGACATACGAGAGCGGGACATGCAGCTTAGGCATTGGCAGATCTTCCGGGTTGGTGGCGGTGCGGGATGTGACTGCGGCGTTGCTCAGTGCTTTCCCTGACAAGATCTCGTGGCTGACGGGTCTGCAGAAGGCGGTCGTCTTGCGCGCTTTCGCTGACAAGGGTTTCCCCAACTGCCATGGGTGCATCGACTGCACCCACATCTTCATCGACAAGCCTGCGAATTGCCCCTGGGAGGACTACTACGATAGGAAACGGCGTTTCTCCGTGCAGGCACAAGTCGTCCTGGATTTGAACTTGCTCGTTCTGGATGTGTTCGTCGGTTACCCGGGAAGTTGCCACGACGTCAGGATCGTCCATCTGTCCAGTTTATGGGCACGCGCGGAGGCGGGAGAGCTTTTGACCGGGCCACCTGTCATGCTGCCTTTCGGTGTGTGGACGAACGGATATCTGCTGGGGGACAACGGGTTCCCGCCCTCCGAATGGGTTGTCGTCCCTTACGGCGGTGTATCCCAAAACCCTGTAGAGATGCGCTTCGATAACAAGCAGAAGACGACGAGGGGCGCAGTGGAGAGGGCTTTCGGCAGACTGAAGGGGATGTGGAGGTTGTTCCTTCGATCCCACAAGACGAACATGGAGATGTTGCCGCAGCAGTTCGTCGCCGTCTGCATTCTCCACAACATACTCATCGACGCGGGCATCCCGTTCGACGACAATCTGCTGTGGGAGGTCGGGCCGGACGGCGTTCGTCGCAGGGTGGATCTTGGGATGGATCGTCCCTTGAGGCAGATGTGCATGGATTCGTCCACAGGGGATGCCCTCATTCTACGTGATGCACTGGCTGAGCGAATGGCGGCACAGTGAAGACGGCGAGGCGAGCGGAGCGATCGGCCTGGATGACGTGGCTGAGGCGATTAAACGCGGCCGTGTCCCGCGGGGTGCAAGGTAGAAATCGTGGCAGAAGACGCGGGGTGGTCCATGTCGTGCAACGAGTTGTCGCCGTTGTTTTCTTCGGCCATTGGTCGGATCTCGCGAGTTGAAGCGGTGGTGGACGTCATAGTTTTGTTGGCCATGCACGCGGCGGCGTGTGTCGGCAGTTTATTTCGTTGTGTTAGGGTCCGTGCGCTGTTGGGTGTGTGGCTGCGCTGGGGGCGGACTGCGGTTGCGCAGTCGAAGACGTAGGCGACGAGGGGCGATGTGAGAAGCGCCCACGTGCAGACAGGTGGTGGTTGTGTAGTGCGTTGTCGCTCCGGCGACGTGTGAGGGTGGCAGGGTTTTCGTGTCGATCGTTGGTTTTATTGTTGTGTTTTGGTTCAACTTTCCACTGGAATTGATTTATGGCCCTTTTCGTTTTTCACGCTCAGGCTCCATGGACGTGTTGTTTTGTGTTTTTTTTTTTTTTTTTTTTTTTTTTTTTTTTTTTTTTTTAAAGGTTCTTATTTTTTTGGTTTCTTATGGTTCTCCTCTTTTCATGTTCTTATGCACAGCGATCTGCCATTTTCCTTATTGTCAGCGGCGTGGATGGTGTGCGGCGTGTCTTTCTTCTTTTCCGAACAACGATATATACACAATTGCAGGACGGTGTTCTATGTTGTTTCTCATGCCACTTTCGCTTTCAACATGCGTGATGATGTGTGTGGACAAACCTCGGTTAGCAGTCTTTCCAAGCAATCAATCTTGAAAAACAAACAATCCCATTATGAATGTGTACACCAACGGATCATGACAGCTGCCAAGTGGACGACACAGTCGTGAAGAACAAAAAATCAATGGCACCCTTATTGCTCGCATGTACAGAACCGAAGAAACAAACAAAAGGTCCTAACTGAATGACGAACATGTTAATCAAAAGTCCAAAAGAAACCCCCAGCCCGAATGCGCTTGCTGCTCTGACACCGAACACAAAAACGTCCACCCCAACGACCACCGACGTCGTCCGCACTGGCAGCAAACCCTGGCTCACACCCTGTTTTAATTCCACACGAAAGTGCACACATGCACCCCCGTAATCAACTTTGTCCCTACGCCCACAACGGCATCATGAACCCCCCGCGCTCATATCTTCGTTGACAGTGGCGTCATCGCTGTCTTCCGGTGGGCCTGTGCCCAACCAATCGAGCTTTTTAGCCTCCATTGGGGAAAACAAAGTGGTGTCGTGCGAGAATTTCACGCCGATTGACGCCCAGTCTGGGATGTACAGTGGAGGGGCCAGCAAGGTGATCGGGGGTTTCGCCAGCTTGTCCGTGATGGTTGTTGCGGCCTGCACAATATGGCGACGCGCGTCGGACGAGCGATGCATGGATGCGATTAGGGTGGGTTTCGCCGTCAGCTGGACGAATACCCACGCGTCGTAATGGGCGCGACGATCGTCACCGCTCATATGCATGAGCCACATCGTCGCAGCGAGCATTACCCGCATCGTGTCCGCTACGCTCTTCAGCCTCTCATGTGACACCCGACCGCCGTCGACTCCCTCCGCCATGCTCACGGCGCTCGTGAACTAGCCCACCAGTCTCTAAACGCTCGCTTCCTGATACGCCGCTAGCTCGTCGTCCTCGTGCATGTCTTCGATGTAAGCGCCGACGAACCACAGTGGCATGACATGGTGGTGTGGAAAACCATGGGGCTCACACACACACGCCAGTCTTCCCCCATCCAAATCGCGCCCGCGATGTCAGTCGCCACATGGTTCAGCGCGTACCCGTACACAGCGTGGTAACCCCGTTGCCTTCTCGCGGACATGAACACCCACCCATGGATCACCCGCAGAGCGATGGTCTGCGCCTTCAGCGCCCTGTCTTGCGCATCACTGAACTCCGATTCGTCGTCGATTTTGTGCTGCATGATGGTGGTGTGTGGCATGACGATGCTACGTCGAATCGCAGGAGGCTGCACACCCCGCGCCACTGCCACAAGATACAGCCGCACTTCCTGCATGAGCTTGACAATGGCATTTCCCACAGTTGCCAACGCTTTGGACGCCTCCGTCCATCCCTTCTCATGAGCTCTGCTGCGCACCCTGTTCGCCAACGCTTCATCGTCCTCCCCGACTCCAGCGACGGCGCCTGCCCTGCTCCCTTCGCCCACATTCCCCCCACCCGCCCTGGCTCCTTCCGCCGCATGCGAAGCCCCCACAGTTGCGGCCCCGCCTGACCTCCCCCCTTCACCAGTGTGGGACGCACCACCCGCCGTGGCGGCGCCTTCCCTTGCCACTTCCGCAGTGCGCGCCACAACCACCATCGACGCCCTGCGATCGTCATTGGCGGGAGATCGGCTAGCGATCCCCTGAGCAATGCCTTGTGCGGCGACGCCGACGTCTGTGGCCGTCGTCTGTCGCGGGATTGATGGCGTTCGCCCGCAGACGAGCACCTCTTGCGCGGCCGGGGGTTCGTTGACACGTGGCAAGGGCGCACGGTTCTGCTGTGTGGCGGCACTCCCCCCGGCTCGACCCGTCGCCGCACGAGGGGCGACATCGGCGTCTTGATCAATTTGCCCGCGGCCCCCTGCGCAACGCCTCTCGCCGACGTCATCCATCCGTAGGGCTCCAATCGGCCTTCCGGAGGACTTGCGCTTCAATGGGATTTCCTCTGATTCGTCGAAGTCGCTTTCCACGTGTGAATCGTCCCCCTCCGCCACCCACTCTTCCGCATCTGCGTGTATCGCCAGCGCAGAGGCCCCTTGGACGAGGTTCCTCTGTTTGCTCGCCACGTGGCTGCCCCTTTTCTTCCGGAGAGCCGCGTCGACGGCCTGTTTCCCGGTAGACCTCCCGCGTCCTGAACCTCGGGACGCCATGACGCGCGACACACCTTCGACGACACGCAACGATGGTGGGTGGAGTGACGGCCCGTATCACCGCCGAGAAGAGCGACGATGATGGGGGAATAGGGCACGGCGTCCAAGTCGACCAAGACGGAAGAGCACCCCCACGAAGGCATTGACGAAGACCTTCGATAGCGCGACAGCGCAGATGGTGACGAAGGCGACAAGGTTCGCGTGAGGGACGCCGGTGTTGAAGACCGAGACGATGACGGCGAAAAAGGCGACGAAGGCGCAGAGAAAGACGTTGGCGTAGTCCGAAGACGGCGTGGAAGGTGAAGGCTGGATCAACTGCGAGTGCGAAAAGGAAGGCGGCGAGGATCGCTAGAAGGCGACGTATGTGAGGGCGTTCACAACGAGCGGGTGGACGACGAGAAAGGATTCGACGGCAGGGACGAAGACGACGACGACGTGGCGAGAAGGAAGCGAGTGAAGAAGGCGACAGGGCGATTAGTGAGTGGCCCGAGTGGTCACTGCGATGTGTGCTGTTGCGTTCCTAGGTCCGCAAGCTTATAAACACACGTCCCCTGCGTGGTGGAGGGCGACGAGTGGACAGCAAAACGACGACTTCATCCCCCAACGTTCTAAATCATTCTACCACAGGCCTTGTCTTGGGTGCGGAAACGAAAGGGCAAATGTTACGGGGCACAATAGCGGGGGACGTCGACCCCCCACACATATTGTGGCCACCCTTCGTCAATCGTGCCTACAACGGAGCCCCTCGCTCGGAAGGCAGCCCCCAAAGCAGTCGCCATCCACGGCCACCCAACCTCCTGCCGGACATCATAACTACCAGCAGGATAGAGCACTCGCGGGAGACTCACTTGCCCTCCGCCCCTCATAACCCGCGCCCTCCCCTCAAACGATTCGACCGCCAACCMCCCCCCATTAAAAAAAAAAAAACAGAAGGGCGGAGGGTGTTTGCGGGTCGCTGAATGGTGGGGGACTTGTGGACAGCCGCTTTGGTCCCGGCGACGTCCCCCTACCGCCGCCCGGACGTTCTGCAACCGCGAACACACCCCCGGTTGGACAACAACACAAAACAGGATACCAACAAACATCGCATTTGCAAGTCTCCAACTACCATGAATGGACATCCGCATTCAGACGACAAGTTCCAATCTCCAAGGGATCATGTCATGCACAGTGTCGATTTTTTTTGCCTGATCACGACAACAACGACATCACTCCAGAAATGGACGGCATGCAAGACAAAACCTTTATCTAGTTATGGTACAGCTCTCGATCACTACCGCAAAAGAGTGACTGCCACGACATACACACACACACACACACACACACACGCACACACACACACACACACACACACACACACACACATACACACACACACACAGGGGGGG